TATTTAATTGTTTTATTCGACTTTTTTTGGCCTTCTAAAAGGGTCCCCATAGCTCCGGGTGCCCACGGGCTCCTGCAGAACCTAAGACAGTCCGGACTGCTTAAGTAAGAAGTATACCTGCTATAGCTCATATAGGTTATCATTAAGAAATCGACAGTAAGTTTCATTCGTATCGAAAAATGGCGAGATGCAAATGTGCAATACTCCACGTATGTTAGGCATATAAATACGCGTCTTTTGAACACTTTAAACGGGTACATTTATAGTAGGATATGAATTATGATTGCACACGGTGCACCGCGATATTTCGTTTGTATAGTGATAAATAAATAAAATATTGTAGTGCAGTCATGCGCATATGACGTCAAAATCGTCATCGCGCGCTTTATATTATGCGCACCGCGCCGCATCAGATAATAAATAATAATAATAATAATATATAAGATTATATGGACGTTATAGACTACGGTATGTATAGTATATTATGCACTTACCTGGTGTCGACTCGTTCAACGAAGATGAAAAATCGTTCAAAACCCCTGTGTCGGTACTCGATATCGTACAATATACGCGTGTGCATATAAGTCACATAATAATATGAAACACTAGTGATCGAGGTGCGAGGTGCAAAACTAAATCTAATCAAAAAAAAATTCACATCAACCAAACTAATCTATAAGGCTAAACGACAGCCAATACTTGCAGGCGCACACTTACGGCTTCTACACGGTGAGTGTATATAGATAATAATAAAATATATTAATCTGACATAAGCCTCACATGAATCTCGCGGTGCAGCCGACGTGCATACAACTGCACCGCGGTCGACGAAATATCATCACACGCAGTGGCGTATATATGGGGTGGGTCTAGTGGACTGCAGCCCCCCCCCCCCCCGAAATTACATTATTTTTAAATAGAACAACAATATATTTTATTTTTACCATTATAAGTAAGTTATAATATTGCATGGCAATATTTTTGTTGTAAAATAACAAACACGAATATATTTATAGACTCTGTTAAATATATAGTAGACTGCAGTAGCCTCTAAGTAATAGATCACTTGCTAGTTTCTGTCTACTACAGCCCACCCCAAAAATTATTTCTATATACGCCACTGAATTCACACGCATTATAAGCAGCATTCGCACACTGTCGGCACTGTGACATTCACGGGTCGTGATGAGTTATATCGACATATGGTGAGCATAGGTACATAATTTTCTTTGGTAAAGTCAAAGAAGTGTAAACCTGACTAGTACGGTCAAGTGTCGTTTGCGTTTCTTTAAGGCCTCACAAGCATCAAAAGTGCACTGCTTTTTTTATCCAATTGCGCCACATCACTCTCTATACCTAATGTATAATATTTATGAACCACCACACCTGTAACTATACTGAATCCTAAGTGTCCGTTCATGCACATGCGGGTGGATATAAATGTCGATTTCCGGTATTTTATATTACGGCGGTCCCACATTTGGCGATATTTAGATAAAAATAATGCAGTTTTTTTCAGAAGTTGACCCTCGAAAACCAAATCATTAATCAAAGGCATCAAATACACGCTGCAGTACGACCGGATTTCATTTTTTTTTAATATTATAGGTCACCAGTATCTCCACTCCTATCGCCCAGCAAAATATTTTGTTTTTATGATTAGCGCAGACCAGTATTGTATAATACTTACATGTATAGTGAGTGGCGTTGTATGTCATACGTCATACGGGTGGTTTTAATTATTTCGCAATTTTTGGAGTATTTTTTTCCCCGTCTGTATATAATTTTTTATGTACCTAATATAGTAATTACTAATTAGTAGGTAGGCATACTCAGTACTGTTAGTAATTACTATTACCTCTATAGTTATAATTTCATTCGATTTTTTTGTCTCGTTTCCGATAGATATCGAATACAACACAGCTGCAGTTGGTACCCCATCTGAGGTATCCTGAAATTCGTATTCCTGTACTTTATGCCCACTGCCCACTGTGGGTGATGTTATGTTGTTCTACTATATTATATAATACGATATTCCGCACACGCTCGAAAATGACAACGACGATAATACGCATTTCCGCCGAGCGCTGAGCTAAGGGGGTCATCTACCGCCGCGCGGCGTGGCACCTGTTGCACACGTCGTCCGTTTCCTACGTATTATCATAATATTATATTATATGCGCCCGCAATTATATACGCATAATATTATATTATGTGCAGTGATTACAATAGAAAACCGCTCCGGGGCGGTGCAGCAGCAGCAGCAGCGGCTAGCAGCGAGGTGTGGAGCAGCAGTAGGAGTGTATGAAATGGGACGCACGCGCGCAGGCGAACATCTGGTCAGTTTCTGGCCAGTCCTGCGGTCGGCTTTTCCGGCGAGAAATCCGCGAGGGCCATCAACCGGCCCGAAAAACCCGCCGTTTCCGGTCCGGTCCTAGTGTTTCCGCCGGAAACGTCGCTACGAAGGCGAAAAACCACGAAAAAATGTTTCGCAACGTGCAAGCTCGGTCGGTCGAGCGTGGGCTAAATCTTTTTTTCACTGCGTGTGGGCACACTGGTTTCAAGTGTAACACACTATTTGAAAACTTCCCGTCGACGCGGGGCCGCGCGCTGGTGGGCGTCTACGGCGCTCACGTAATTATTGTTGTGCGGACGGACTCACCGGTAGTGGGCGACAATAATATCGGACATGAATAAGTGTGTGTGTGTTTGTAGCCTTCTATATACGTATATATTATTATTGTTACGAACGTATGAGGCGTGTGCTAGTCTGTGTATCGACACGTCGCCACTGCGAATTGGGAAACGAAATTAAAGAGAAAAAATATGTGTACATACTCGTATATAATAATATGTAATACGTATTTAGGTGTATTATATTATACACACGCACGAAACGACCGACGATGACGACGACGTCCCACGTCGTCTCACACGCCCAAAATTTCGAAAAATAAAAAGTTGCACGGCCGATATACACGTCATTTTCAGATTTCTGAACTGAGTTTATATGACAAAGCGCGTACGAAACTATTTCGATCATAATCGTCCCTCGTCGTGCAGGCTATGATGCATTCAGGATTCCTTATTTTTTTTTTTTTTTTTTAATGTTACCACTTTAAAACTTACGAGGGCCTGTGCTGCGTGTAATGTGTCTAATAAGCGGCAGAGGGACACAATTTTTAAACATTTCATTATAGTCATTTTTTTTGTTTTATTATCGTTTATAATATAAAAATATTATATTACATATAACATAATAATATAATATGTACTCACAGTTGATCGTAACGACATATAATAAATATATGTGCAAGGCATAACGTATATATATATTATATATTGCAGAGTAGGTATACTATGTATATTACAATTATTTTATTTTACCGATAAATATCACAGAATTGATAACAATGGTCTATAATAGTAGTTATATATATATAATGATGTGTAGGTAACACCAATATAATAAAAATTCGGACTAGACCAAATGACGTATTTTGTTATCGACAATAACGATTATGTATAAAGTTATAAAAGGCTCTGTTCTTGTTTTTCTCTTTTATACGTATAAAAATATGTGTATATATTATAAAATAACATATGCATAGAATTTTCTCTAAAATATCTTACCACAATAAATTAAAAATATATAATATATACGAAAAATAATAAATAATATATAATAATATACAACGTTTCGATTTTTTTGTGTTTTGTACAAAATAATAATTAAAAATAATACTATATATATATATATATTTATATATATAAAAAACAAAATAGTTTCATATTTACAAGAGTACAGGACGAGAGAGATTGAGTGAGAGAGAGAGAGAGCTAATAAATACGCGTAATTACACATGATTACCGATAACTGCAGTTTTTTTTCACGATTATTTATTAATTTTTTTATTCTCTATCCGTTTCTTAATCGTTACGCGATCGCAGCGTACAGCCGCCGCCGCCGCCGTTCTCACGACCTACGCACCGCCGTTGCCGCGCCGCTGTTTACCGATCCCGGGCACGTATTCGATATTATTATTACACTTTATTATATTATCATTATACAGGTACAATACGGCCGCGGTCCGGTTTTTTCGATTATCGTGAAGCGTAATAAATCCATGGCGATCCGTGCCCGTTAATCCCGTGGGAAAACACCAAACGAGGCGGCGGTGTCGGCGAAAACCGTCCGGGAAAAACGTATGGCAATCGCCTAGGTCGCCGCCGCGGCAGCAACCGGTCCACGCGCGTAGGCATAATACTACCATCGTTGCGACCAGCCGTCGCCGCCGCCTACGCACGTGCCCGCTGCCGCCACTACCGCCCACGCACGGCCAACGTTTTAATGTTTTTAATGATAATAACGACAACGAAGACGATAATTGACCAATCATCGGCGGACCCCTTATATTTGTCACCAGACGGCGGCGTAAGTATTTTGAAAAAATTGTTTGTCACCGGCGGTTTACATATTATATTTTGTATTTCCCTCCTTCCCCCCCCCCACATCCCTCAACAGGACTGCGAACGAAGGTATATCAACTTCATTCATGGCTGGCAGGAGACCGAAAGCGGAACGCTGATAGAAATGCAACAACGATTTAAAAAAAAACATTCGGGACGGCGATGATTAAAAAAAAAATTGTACTTTCGATTTTGAACACGACCCGGCAGTAGTAGGGTAAGCGATTTATTTAAGCTCATAATATTATATTTATAAACTACAACACAGCAAATAATAAAAACGTAACACACAAAGCGAAACACACTGCAATCAAACACGGACGAATAGGATTTGCCTACGCTGTATACGTTGGCGTGACAATGTTCGGTTGAACCCATTGCCGGGGATAATCGCATGGTAATTGCATATTTTCTGGTAATATTATATTATAATATATTTCTACTTGTACAGACATAATATGGTTCAGTCTATTTCATTTTATTAATTTTTTCAAAATTTGCTATCCCGTCAATGTTGGTTCAACTGAACATTACCGCTGGTTGTGTGAATGGGATGCCATGTGAGGATATTGGTGTAATGGCAGCGGGGATGTGCACTGTTGCTGATAGTTGGCCGTGTGCATCAGCGGGCTGGGACTAGATGAGGGTATGAGATGAGCAGGCGGGGACATGGCCATGATGTGTTGGGGATGGTGTTGCTGATGGTGTGGATGGTGGACAGGACTCTGTTGGCCGTACACAAACTGCCTTACTTTGGAATCGTGGTCGTCACCAATGTTGTAAGACAGGTCGGTCTCCTCAAATCCAGTTGCTGACATGCGTTGGTCCCCTGAGTTTGCACCGGATGAAGACGGGCACGGGTCTGGTGAATTTAAGCATGTTTGGATAAGCGCTTTGCCAGCTTCAGAAGTAATCATCGGCTGTAACTTGCGCGTGGCAAACGTATACACATGACCCGTTTCAGATGCTACTAATAGCATGACTTGAGTGCCTGTTAGTGTTGACAACTCGTATGCCTGTAAAAGAACAAAAATAATATAATTGAGATGAAAATTACTCAAATGTTAAGAAATAAATTAAAGAAATTTAACCACAGTATTTTAAAATAAATATTATAATATTTTATATAATCAAGTCCAAGAAAATACTAATATTATCAGGAGTATCTCAAACATATGAAAGGTAATAACAAAATACAAAAATATACTAAATCATTTTTACATTCAAGTGAATAACACCGTTTACAGTTAACTGACATCAAATACCTATGTCGATTTTGTAAATTTGTTTATGAATAGGAATTAAATATTATACTAAAACGAAAAGGTGGTTATTTTATATGAAAAAGAATAGTTAATATTAATTTTATCGTTCATGATTGATGTCACCCATAGATGATTTAAATTTTAGATACAATAGATATATACACATTTTTCAATACAAATAATGCAAATTTATACTAGTGAAAATTATTCAAATGACTTTGGAATATTTAATGTCAATTAACTGTATTGAGTAATATTATACTATAAAAAAAAAATATAGCAAATCCCTATACCGGCTATACCTATAAGACTACCTAAAGAATAATACAATTAGGTATATGTTCACTGTATTAAATTATTATTCTCATAGAAAATACTAAATAATTAGTTTAAGTACAAGAAAAACTATAAACCAATCAAAATTAGTATCGGTATTCAGGATAAGAAAATAAATAAAATAAGTTTTAATATAGGTAATAAAAAAAAAAAAGCTTAATTATATCAGTGGTCTGGTTTTAAAAATCTATTTATCATAATAACAATAGTATGCTTGAAGTTGTACTAGTTAATCTTCATTTTTTTTTATTAAAATATGAAATAAATTACTATTTCCAATAGATACTTAAATTTACTTACCTAACTAATTTCTTAAAAATGTTTTAAGGTAATAAATAACGATAATAGGTATTTTTTAGTTTATTACCTACCAAATTACATTAGTCCTAAACTTAAAAAAATGTATATTAAATAATTAAAGGTGAAGTATCTACTGAAATGCAAAAAAAGTCTTTTATTTTTTGCAAATTTAGTCTTATAGTACAAATCAATTTACTAAATATAGGTAATAGGTTAACTAATAACTAAAAGCAATAATAAGCAAGTAAAACAAAGCAATTATAAAAAGAATAAGGAAATATATTTCAAATTTGTCTAACTAAAAATGTACCAAGAGTAATATTCAACATATTATGTTATATATAACAAAACACTTTATTTTTTTACTATTTAAAGCTTATTTTGTACAGATGGTGGTCTAAACATATGAGTTGAAATACACATCTGTTAGTTACTTAGATGTCACTTTTATTATGTAACTTTATGTGGCATTTTTATTTTAAACATTAGTTATAATACTAATAGATAACATGGATATCTTAAAATACAAAAGTATTTGAAAAAAAATTATAAATAAAATTAAGAAGAAATCGACCATCTGTTTGGCAATTGAATCATGTGAAGGTCATTTTATTGTCTCATAAAATAATACAGGTACATATCATTATCATGTTTAATTTTCAATTAAGTTAACACAACACAAATAACTACAAAGACAGATATAACCTCAGATATAAAATTTAAACAAACAATATTAATAAACTTATACAGAGTTATAATTTTGATGAGAATCAATTGCATGTAAAATACTTTCATTGTAATATAAAAATAAATGACAAAGAAATCAATAAAAATGTAAAACAAAAATCTGAATCCCATCTAAAGTAAGTAATCAAAATTAAGAAAAATGAGTAGGTACTCAACAGACACTCAAATAAAATCAAAAGCTGTACCTACGCAGGATTACAACAAATTTCAAAACTAACCTTCTTCATAATGCCGGTTTTCCTCTTGGAGAATGTTGTGTATCTGCGCAACTTATTCTCAATGTATTCCATTTTGATTTTTACACGGCCCTTGGTCTTCTTGCCGTTTGACGGTGAAACATCCTTGACGGAAGGAGGCGAAAAGTTGTCGTCGACCAACCGATGGTGATCGGTCGGTTCATAGCACATGTTAGTGCCGGGGCCCAGCGTCCGCTTGATGCCTCGCTGGTGTACTGGACCTCCAGGACCGCATCCCATCATGGGCGGTGTTCGCGACGTGGACGGCCTTTGTTGTTGACCGCCGACGCCGTTGTTGTAAATGTCCGACGGGTCCAACAGCGACATGTTCGACGCGTAACCCATGCCGAATCTATTGTCGCGGCCGCCACCGCCAGACGCACTGTCCATCGCTGTCCACCTCATGCACTTGACCGCCTACGACTGGTCATCCACGCACTGCACGCACACGCGATACGGTCAGCACCGGCCGACCGCGGCAAACGGCGAGTACGACGATATTACTATCTGCTCGTGATTTCCTTTTCGGCGGGACGCAAAAGACGAACGGGGATACGTCTCCTGAGAACGGGTGAACGGGAGCAATAACAATAAAAAAATTCAACTAAAATAACGAAAACAAACGTCACTGATAACAACGGCCGCGGCACTGATAACGGCGGGACACCGGCGGTGTGCTGTTGCCACTGCAATGAAGATACGAACGGTTGTGCCGTCGTCGTGTTGAATTCCACGGCCGCCCTCCCGCCGCCGCACGAGCGCGAGTAATTCGACCTGCGTTCGTACAATAATAGAACTAGTGGCGCATGTGCCGCGCGGTTTTTCTATTTTTAAAAATTTTTTAAAAAATTGTACACAATATTCAAGACGTCGGGCGCGTGGCGGTGCTCCGGCCGGATCGTCGTCGATTATAAAATATTATTATTATATTATTATAATGTACACAGCGTATTTTTCTACGGGGGTACGCGAACACACGACGAAATCGGAGGACAGCGTTTACCGTCGCCTCCCGCACACGATGACTTCCAGACGGACACAGATCGCGAGTAAAAATTTTAATATATATATTATATATATTATATATTAAACGATGACGGTGTTACGTTGGAGTAATGTCGCACGACGACGAATTTTCTGTAGTAAAAATTATTTTTTATTAATGTCGATTAAAAAAAAAAATAAATACGATATATCGCGCGAGTCGTTACGGTGTGCAGCGCGGGCACAAACTACACGTGTGACACGTCCATGTGCAGACGACGGAATGGCATAAGACGTGCCTACTACAATACCCACTACACACCACGGTCGTCTTAGAAAACGAGTCGTGTCGTCGGACCGCGGTCGAAGTCGTCGTCGTCGCCGTCGGTCGAACGGCTGTGGTAACGGCGGCGGACGGTCGCGCGCGCTATCGTATATTATTATTATTATTTTTATTATTATTATTATTACATTGTATATTATTATTTCGTGCTGCTGCTGCCCCCTTCTCCCGGGCCGCCGCGACCTCCCCCGCCGCCTTGCTTGCCGTATTTAGAAGAGTTGCCCGAGCCAAATTAGGCAAACTTGACCATATACGGTGCGACTGTAGTACCTCCCCAACGGCGTTAAGATCCACCTTCCGGCGAATAATGCGCTTCCTATATAATAACGCGCGACTGTTCGCCATATTTTTTTTTTCTATAATATTATTATATTACATAGGTACATATAGTTTCTAGGATTGGTTGTTGTTGTTGTTATGATTATTTATTAGTTTTTTTGTATTTAAAATATAATATTATAATATAGGTGTTAAGACTAGTTCGTAACACTCGCTTTGCCGAGTTCCTAATTCCGACCAAACCCGAAAATGTATAGGTACCATAACGCAAGCCCAGTTTGGGACGACTGGGACGAGTGATAATTAATTCGTTTCTAAACGCCAAAACGCCACCGACTGCAGTCTGCAAGATGCACCGCGGCGACTCAGTAGAACGTAGTTTTTTCTGCTGATTTTTAGCTCTCGATTATTGTATAGATTAGTTGAAGTATTTAATTTTTTCGGTGGTTTTGTCGTCGATAACAGTTAAACATAAAAAAAAAAAACAATTATTATATACAGTATACACCTACGACAAATGACAATCAATTACTTCGTAGTTATACACAACGGTAATATATAATATATAATATATGCATGATTCATCAAAGTATATTATGTAAGATATAGGTAACATTCTGATGAGTTAAAGACCTAAAGAAAAATCTGTATATAAGTTGTGCCAGACTTTTCACGTAGCCACGTAGGTATGCTTTATATTAATAGCGAATTGCTAACATAGAATGTTTTAATATACTTTTATATCTTTAAATACAATTCTAAATTCATCATGGTGAATTGTGTTTTCAATTTAAACTATGCAGTATTAAGTCTGCATATTAATGTTTCATTTTAATATGGTTTAAAACGTTCTTTATTTTTAAATAGTAGGTAGGTATGCATTTTAATGTTTGAATTTTATTTTATTACATTTGAAATTATATTTTATGTTGATAAAATAGCAATATCCTACACTACTTAATTTCCATTTCTTTAGTGTTTTAGTTAACGAATTTTAAATTGTCAAAAATGTCATTACTCATTAGTTATTAATTATTATACTGTATCTATAAACTGTAATCAATAAAGCAAACGTGCTTTCTATAATAATGTGTGAACTATTGAATTTATATCATATAGACATCAGAGTAATAGACATAATATAGACTAGGTATGGTGCACTAGCACTTTACACGTTATACACCTAATGTTCTAATTTATACACTGCTCTATCTAAAATTAGCAAAATATTATGTATTCTGGTATTCATGTATGTTATAATTATAATATAGTTTCCAAAATGTACACATCAATGCAACTCTATTGGGGGAAGTTCACACTAGTTTGAGAAAATGGAAAAATCTTGTATACATAAATACATAATAGTCGTTGATACTTGATATAAAAGGTATCAAATAAGTAATAACTAAAAGTAATCTCTGACCAAAGAAATTTAAAAATGGAGAGAAATATATTTTTGTCTAAGACTCATAAATTGTATTTATAACGGTTATTAGTTATTACTTATTACACAGTCAAAGGCAAATTTTTAAACTCAAAAAATTGTTCCTAGTGAAAAGTAGCCATTTATGATTTATGTAATTTTCACCAGCACTTAACAGCGACCAACCAACAGGCATCAGAGAAAAATTTACTAACTTAAAATATATACTGTTAATCACTAACATATAGTACATACACGTTATAACCAAGGTGTACGTGGGGGATTTGGGGGTCAGAAGGTGCCCTCCATCATGGCCTTTTTTTTTGTTTTAAGACATTTTATAGAAAAACTTTAAAAATATAATATTGATGTCCTTCTTCTTAAAAAAAAATGTTGGTACAGTTGTTTCATTATAATACACATTTTAAATATACCTATTGTACAATATATTAATATTATAATACGAATTTAATTTAATACAATATTATATTTTATAATATACTATAATGATAGTCACCATTTAAACTTACATAGGTATACAAGATGTAAAATAATGACCTGACAAATCAATTACTTTTGTTGTAATCAATATTACAATTTTTTTTTAACTTATACTTGCTAATTTATACTGTATACAATTTATTATTTTTATTTTTGAATTTTTAAATTTAATTAAAATTTTTTGAAAAATTCAAAATAGCCAATTTGAAAATCTAATTTTTGGAAAAACTGTGATGGTAAAAACAATGATTTAAGTAAAGCACTTTATATTTTATAATTTTGTAAAATATTAATATGTTTTTGGAATAAAATAATTATTCGAAACGATTTTTTTTTTAATATTCTTTTGGGAATTTTCAGACATAGGTAAGTAAATCTTAAATTATTTATTATCCGCATATAATTTTCATAATGTATTTTCATACGTTTAACTAGTGTACTTAACAATTTTTCATTTTTCATTTATCAGGTCTTTCTGCAGTTACACACCATTGTACAGGCCGTATTTATTAGACATTTGCATTTGGGGGCTTAATTCACACAAAAACAAAAATGTCTTATACTGCTAGAAGCCTCTAAAAAATATTTGCCCCAGGCATCTGAGAGTCTAAATCCGGCACTGCATACACCACTGGTTATAAGTTTATAACCTAACCTATATTCTGAGTTCTGACTATCTACCTATAATATATATACTACAATGTGTTATCTAGGTCACGAATCACTAACATTATATGTTTTTCAAAAAGAACTGTTAACTAATAAAAATTTAAACAATTAAACAGTCGTAAAACGTTTTTTTTATCAGATACGAAATCTAAATTCGTATAGGGTATAGGCTATAATAAGACCAATATTGAAGTGCAGTCACTATTTAATAATAAATAAATGACTATTACATCAATAGGTACCTATAATATATTGTGTCATAAAAAAAGCATGTGCTGAACAACGTTGAATATCTATAAAATGCACAAATGATTTACACAAAATGTAGGTACCGAAAAGTTTGAATGTACCAGCAATGTACGGATCTACTATGATTATGAGTTATGACAGATTCTATCTGTCTCTATATCATAAATGATTTATGATATAGAGACATTTATGATTTATGATAAATCTATCACTAAATATCTCACAAGTTACATCCCTTAAATTTTATTCAAAAGTAGATAATCTTAAAATAACAAATTTTATTAAGAGTGACTGACGACTGTACAGAGCTAGAACATATAATATGATATATGCTCATTTTATCAGAACGTGAGAACTGAGAAGTAAATAATTATTAACGTCTGCAGTGACATCATACTTACACAAATGTCCGAAAACTAGAAATTACCAATATTGTTAATTAAAAAAACCAATAACAGCCACTATTAGCCAATAGTCAATAGATACTCATCATAGGTACATTTTGAATACGGTTCCTACAATATAGTTACGTACCTACCTTATACTTAGACTGCTTAGAGATTCCCGTTGCGTCTATTTACCATACAACGACATGTTTATAAATTATTAAAATGATAATGCGATATTGTTACAATTACTTATACAAAGCGCTCATATCAAACTCACACGATCTTATACTATTTTGACTCATCATTATAATATACGATATACCTCACACTAAATTATAACCAAACTATAAATAGGTACGTATATAATATATTCAAAATTCAAACCATAATCTCTCCTTTGGACTTGATTACTTCTATATACCTACGACTATAAATCACTAAGCTTTCATTTATTTAAGATAATCTGGGGTTAAAGTGGGAGGGGGGACGCAGGAGGAATCAGTCCCCCTAATGGTGGTTAATAAGCGTCCCCTTTAACAAATTAGGATTTTATACATTAGACGTTGTA